GAAATTTAATTGTTTGGGTTCTTTCAATTTTTTTGTGTTCGATACTTACTGAGGGTAGAACTGATGGTTGTTTATTTTTCTGTTTCTTCGAGTGAAATAAAATATATTTAGTTTTTTGGGCGTTTAATGATAACATGTTAGCACTGAACCATGTTTTAAGTTTTTGAAGCTCAATGTTGACTTTATCAAAAAGGTCATTGATAGAGGTAGATGAGTAAAACAGATTGGTATCATCTGCAAACATTATACAATCGAGATTTGTAGAGACATAAGGAAGATCGTTAATGTATATAAGAAATAATAAAGGTGCAAGAATAGATCCATGGGGGACACCACATTTTTTTTTTAATAACTTTGCATTAGTGATACCGTCTATTATAACACATTGTTGTCTGTTTTTAAATAATTAGTGAAACATTTGATAGTTTGGTTTTTTATACCGTACTTTCTCATTTTGTCGAGCAGAATTTTATGGTTGACAGTATCGAAAGCTTTTGTAAGATCAATAAAAACTCCCAATACAAATTTTTCTTTATCAAAATATGATCTAATGTTGTCCATTAAGTCTAAGGTTGCATGCTCCGTAAAATGAGTTGTTTGAAAGCCGTATTGACATTCACTTTATTTTATTGGCTTCAAACATTTATAAAGTCGGTTGTACATTATTCTTTCCAAGAGTTTGGAAAACAAACTCTTGGAAAGAATAATGTACAACCGACTCTGGAAGACTCCCAATTATAGACCTACCTCAAACTCTGGAAGAATTGAGGTAGGTCTATAATTGGTTAGCAAGGTCGTGTCTCCAGTTTTAAATATAAGTAAAATCTTTGCAATTTTTAATTTGTCTGGTAAAAATCCAGTTTTAATTGATGACTTGAAAACCTCTAAAAGAGGATCTTTTAAAATGTATAAAACATCATATACTACATTGCTAGAAATGTCGTCGATGCCCAAAGGTTTGTTTTTTCTAATTGATTTTGTTGCTTCTTTAAATTCCTCAGATTTTAAGTCACTCTCAGTAAATGAACTGGTATGGTCAGTAAGATATTTATTAAATGAATTGTTCGAGTTGTTTATTTTGGATGCCAGTTTAGGACCGATGTTTACAAAACATTTATTAAATTTATCGGAGATACATTTAAACATTTGACCAATTTGTTTTTGATTAGGTTTCTTTAAATTCGCGAATAGAAGATTTGTTAATTTTTCTTTTATATGTTTTGATTTTTGAATTATTTAATGACGCTGAGTTTTGTGTAAGTGAGAAGAATATTGGAAAGTGGTCTGATATATCAATTTTAAATATTCCTGTTTTTAAAGATATGTCTAAAAATGAGTTGGTCAGTATATTATCTAAGGCTGTAATTGAGGTTGAGGTGACTCGGGTGGGTTTGTTAATTAGTGAGAATATACCGAGCTGAAATAAATTGTCAAAGAAGATTTTAATGTTTGTGTTTTCGTTGTATTTAAAACAATCTATGTTCAAGTCTCCTATGCAAAATATATATATATATTTTTTCATTGTTATTTTTTATAAAGATCTGGTTCAAATAGTTTGAAAATTTGATAATATTGCCGTTAGGTGGCCTGTAACAAGTAGTTACTAAAATATTTTTTTTATTTTTATTGATTATTTCTATTGTGAGGATTATTTTTATTGATTATTTCTATTGTGAAAATTTCAACTTTACCATCTAAAACTAAATTTAAATTTATCAACAGATTTTAAAATTCGTAGAAAAATATGTAAATTACAAATGTTATGATCATAAAATTACTAACTACAACATGATTTCTTTTGAAAGAAAATACTCAAAAGAGGAGGAGGGATTATAGTTTATATTCGAAATGATCTTGAAAAAAAATTAGAAACGATGCCGACAATGAGGCCCTTAACCCCCCCAGCCTAAGCGTGAGGGCATTAATGTATTAAAATTTCAACTTTTCAAGGTGAGGGCATTAATGTAGTAAACTTTCAAATCTAAAATTCGTAGAAAAAAAAGGAAATTACAAAAGTTATGACCATACAAAATTTACACCCCCTCATTTATTTATTTTTTTTTTTGGGGGAGGGCGTTTTAGGGCTGTTTTACTCCTAGGCCTCCACCGACTTAATTTTTTGCAAGGCCTTCTCATTTGGCATAGGTGTAAACATACTTAAGTTTGGAGTTTATACCATGTGTGAAAGTGTCCTATCTGGAACATCAAAAAAACCTGCGGGTATCTATGCATGTGTGTGCATTGAGGAAAACTATACCCTCTACTCCCTATACCAAACATTTTATGTTGGCAAACTAGGATCTTTAGTCAGAATTTTAACTTTTCTATTGGTTAGCTGGTTAATTGTAATAAATTGGAAAATCGATGTATGTACTTTTAAATTGAACATTCCCCCCCCCCCCCCATACGCTTTCGTACGCTTTTTGAAGACCTTCCCCCTCCCCCTATGAGCGTACGTACTTTATGGACAACCCCTAATGCCATAGACAGTGGTACTGTT